AAAGAAAGTAGATACAGAACGAGACGGCAGCACATTGTCATTCCTATTTCTCGTTGCTGCTTGGAGGGGCACGATGTTTGACAGAGTGATATGAAGCATTGTCCATTACTATGAGTGACATGAAGCATTGTCCATTACTATCACACTCCTGGCCTTGATGTTTGGCAACAACTTCTCTGCAAACCACTTCTCAAATCGCTCTAGTGACACACCAAAGATGACAATGTCGCACTCAGTGTGTACCTTGTGTGGCTCGGGCACATGCAATGAAATGGAACCTTTTCGCCCCAACTGGGAGTTCATGACATTCATTTCGTCCTCTTATGACATTGAACATATGACATGACACCTGCGATTCTCGATATTCTGATAGGAAGTGTATAGTGCAAGATTAGCAGATATGTATTTGATTGTGCATACTTGTTTGCAGGTGGCAGGAGCGATCAGCATGTTCAGGTGCCTCAGCTGCAGGATCTTCAGGACTACCATCTACAGGTGGTACCAGCCCAGTGCCTTCTGAGCATGATTCAGATTCCAGTGGAAGCCCACAACGGGGGTTGGAGCTGCTGTGTGAAGCTGTAGAACTTCGAGAGAAGTGTTCAGTGGTGAGTTGGTAGTTATTATGTATTTTCCCCCCCATCTTTTGATTGCAGCAAGGTGCATCAGAAGCTGAAAAGCAGAGACTCAAGCCAAAAAACTAGCCGTTTGATTTCTGTTACAGTTAAAGCAGTACTATGAAATTGATTACATTTTGGTACCGTATTTACTTGAGTCTAAGCCGGCATTGATTTTATGCCCATCCCAAAAGGTAGAAAAATAATAAAAATATATCCTCGATTGTAAGCCAATCAAAAAGTAAAGAACACCATGCACTTTTAAAAAAAAACTGGCTCGTGCTTTCAACACTTATTTCGCTTTTGCTTGAATGATTTTTGTGATCATGGGAAGTGTCACTGTTTTCTGCGTCGTCGAATGGATCACTCGAAATAAAATTGGCCAATATTAACGAAGTAAATAAGTTTACTGTGGTTTGAGTGAGGTATTTGACACTAACCGGAATACATAAATCAGGAGAATGCTAAACTGGTGACGCGAGCTAAGATAACCAGCTCTCCACAAAGCCGTACAGGAATCAATCTCTTAGTTTTGCAATAACCGTACCAAAAACCAAACCAGTTGTTTTTGTTGAATCTTTGCTGGGAAGTGATAATTTGAAAATGAAAATCTGGAAAGTATCAGAAAACCAGTTGACATGTCATTCACTATAGATATGCATATCAAAAGCCGAGCTAGTCGGATAATGAAAAAATATGTGCTGACTGACCTGTACAGTTGCCAGTTGGGGTCAGGAAATCTGCAATGCTATACTCCGTTTCACCTTCAGTCCGAGCGCAGTGGACGCCACGAGCCATCCCAGCCGATCCAGCGCCGGGAGAAAGTCGCGTGACCTGCCGGTGGGGCGGGGCCACACCGGGAGCTCAAGGTCGCATGACACTCCCTCAACGCCGCATTGGCTGGGGTGGCTCCTAGCGTCCGCTGTGCTCGGACGGAAGGTGAAACGGAGTATAGTTACAGCTACACATTGTCAATCACCGAAAGGCTAATTCTTTGGCTGATAGAAATGAGACTGGGGATTGTGAGGCACGCTGCAGTGCATCCAGTGCCTTAACTCCCTTAGAGCCGCGGTCTTTCAGCACTCCAACAAATTCATGTTTCATGGCTGGCCTCGCTGAATGTTCAAGATGGGAAATGCTTTTTCAGGAGATCCAGACCGATGAACTCGGTACTTGCAGTCGAGGCTTCACAGTCTTCACGTGCTCCCTCGAAGGCGGCGCTGGTTGCACACAGATCACACATCGCGAGGTCTGCGACTTTGGGACACAGCACCAGCCAGAGTTGTCTTCAAAGTATTCAGGTCCAAGCGAGAGGACCAGTTTCTTCGGAGGTTACGAGAGCATCCGACATTCGGAGGATGCATTACAAGGCATTTGCAATGTAAGCATGAGTGTATTTGCTTTGTTTTTGAGCATGTTGCCCCTTGTCACCGAGCGGAGCTGTGATGTAACGCTGGGGAACCGGCTGCTCCTCTTTCTCATGAAAATGAAGCTCGGGTTGAGCTACACTGCTCTTGGTGTGATTTTTAGTGTCGATAGAACTACAGCATCGCGCCACTTCCGAGCTGTGCTGACAACGTTGACTGCTGCGACAGCGAGGTGGATTTTTCGGCCTCCCTCTAGCATTATTCGAGCTACGTTGCCAGAGTGTTTTAAAGTCAACTACCCTGAATGCAAAATGATCATTGATTGCACCGAAGTAAGAACAGAGGAGCCAAGTAGTGTTGGCCAGCAGCGCGTGCTGTACTCGAGCTACAAGAGTGGCTACACTCTCAAGTTTCTGGTCGCTGTAACCCCTAATGGGGCTATTTGTTTCCGTTCGAAGGCATACGGAGGCCGATGCTCCGACATCCATGTTACGGTGGACTCTGCAGGTTCTTAAACATTGTGCAGCCGGGAGACGTAATTCTGGCTGACAAAGGTTTTCCGGGCATCAGGGCAGGTCTGGCAGACACCGATGCGGTGCTCGTGATGCCACCTTTTTTATCGGGGAATGGACAGTTTAGTGAGCAAGAAGTGCGCGACACTTATGACATTGCCCAGGTCCGAATTCACGTGGAGCGTATGATACAGCGAATTAAGATATACAATATCCTCAGGACAACGGTGCCCATTACTCTGATCCCCCTGATGGATGATGTTTTCCACATGTGCTGTGTGCTGGCAAATTTGCAACCTGCCATCATCAAGCCACAGGAATAAGCGGCAGTATGTGTAGGCCCATTCAGACGAATGGCAAGGCTTGGTATGTGGCTCCAATTTCTCGTATGGGGGTCGACTCTTCCTGGGTACCAGCGTAGGCTCCAACGAGCTTGAGTATCACTTAGAGCGGTAAACCGCAACCCAGGGCCTACAATGGAAATGGCACCCCCCCCCCCCCCCCCCTGGTTGCCGCCATCTTACCCAATTGCCACATTAGTGATCACGTGAAACTAAGATGGCTGCGCCCAGAGGTGGGCCAGGTCAGATTGGCCAGATCACGGTAAGCAGAGGGGACCTCTGAGGCTGCGTTCGAATCTTACTTGAATGGATCCGCATTATTCCGGTGGGTCATGTCACGTGACAAGACTGATAGAGCAACTGGACGCGGGTAGGTTTTCGAACGCCAAGGTACAGAACATTTACCCTAGAGCGAGATCAAGTGAATTTTGGACTGCGGCCCTGCTTATTGTAATCTGGCCAATCTGATCTGGTGCACCTATGGGCGCAGCCATCTTAAAGTCACGTGATCACTAATGTGGCAAAGGGTCAGGATGGCGGCAACCGGGGGGGGGGGGGGGGGGGGTGCCATTTTTGGCCTATGGTTTACCGCTGTCAGTTTACTCAAGCTCGTTGGTAGGCTCTTTATTCGCAGACGAGTTCTCTGCCAGTGACTGTTTTGAAGGGGCCCTGCAAGGACTTTTTTACTGGTTTTAGTTTGCACCGAACCTGATCGCACTGGACGTAGTGACTTAGTGAAACTTTTATTTTCTCGAAATTCGCTTTATTTTAGAAGTTATAGGCAAATTAGAATTACAAAAACAAGCAAAAAATAACCTCCCTCGTGACGTCCTTGGTTGCTTGAGCGGCCGTGAACTAGAGGAGGGGTAGTGGGCTTATCGCGAGCGCTCACGACTGCTGCACTTTGTGTCACCGGCGCGAGAGGGCGCCACTAAATCATGTTCTGGATAGGCTGTATGCCGCGGGCAGCCAGAGCGGCTCTCCTTGCATTTGCTGCGCGATTAAACACTATTTCGGCATGACACTTCATTGGCCACAAACAACGGCAAACACAGGGTAAAGATCAGTTCAGAATGGGAGCCACTCCGCGCTGGCATACCGCGAAACGACCAAACCGCAAAACACAGCTGCTCGCCGAAGGCCTTTGGAACGCTCAGAGCCGGTAGGATTCTCCAGTCTGTAAACGACTGCAGCGCCGCCGCGTACATCCGGGACCTTTCCGTGTCGGCGCCCGATCCCACTATGTCGACGGGTCATTTCTTGTTTCCGTACTTTATAAACTGCATTTGTTTCTTTCGTGCTCTAAAATACTGAACAAAAACTACTTTTATGAATAATTGAAATGGTTCGCGCCACTTATATTTTGTATTTCGACTAAAAAGAAGCTTTTAGCGGCTCTGACCAGTAGTAAGCCCAGGACCTAAGACGTCGCATGTCGCGCGCTTTCGGTACCGCGGGAGGTTTCTGCGTCGTCCGGTTAAAATATGATGCACTGATATTTAGTTACTCTCTCCGTGCCCGCTGGCTTGCCCGAACCCCGAAAGACGTGGAAACTGCAAAAAAGGTAGACGCTGAAATATGATTGCAGGGCCCCTTTAAAGGGAAGTTATGGAGCTTCTTGAAAAAAAATTAGTTAGAAGTGAATTCTAGTGTATTTTTACCCCGTAAACCCAAACCATTTGGTGCGCAAGTATTGTTAAACGGGGGGAAAAGGCCAAAGACAATCGCTCTATGTGACGTCATCGACGGATCTTTTGGCTGCCCAAGGCTAGGGAGGCGGGGCTTCAGCCCTATTTAGAAATTGCTTGTATGGCTCTCGGGCGCATCGCATTGAAATATAATTGTGATATCTCTTATTCTAAAAGCCAAATGAACACAATTCAAGCGTTTTTTTTTTTTTTTTCGAACATAAAAGTGCCCCATCTTCCCTTTAAGCGTTCCTGTATGTAGGTCATCTCCTGTTGTAAAAGATGTTTGTAGCTTTTTTATTAGATGTAAAGATGGTTGATAGCTTTGAGTGTATTTTCCATGTCCTTGGGGTTCTATTGTATAATGAAAGTGTGAAATCCGAGCAAGTTTTATGAGTACCATTGTGTTTGTCATTGAGAACGAAGCAGCGGCAAATGAAAATCACACACCTCAGTGCAGAAGTAAACATTTCGATTGTAGGATTATATTTTGTGCACTCTGCTTCACATTTCAGCCTTGTTTTAAACCACCAATTCCTAAAAAAACTGGCAAGTATGCAAAAGAAGCATGGAACACTGTTGCAACTCATGCTGTCTGCAGTGAATTGAATGCAGTACTTTATTTTTTGTCACTCTTACTGATGTGCTTAGATCTGGTACTTTTGCGCAAGGGCTGGCAGGTACCAGCTGAAATAAAACCATTCCAGAGAAGGGATCTCATTGTTCAAAAACTTGTCATTCCTGGGAACGAGCACAGTGGCATCATGCTCATCACATGTGTAAACATAAAAATAACAAGATTGTAAATCCAGCACAAACATCAACACTTGCACTTGTGTGTAGTAGTTGTGCGATGGTTTCAGGCACAACTTGTCATTAATGTACACCAGGCAGCTGGTGAATGTCTTCCTCTTATTGGCGTCAACGACCGGTTGCCCTTTTATCGAGCTAGGGCACTTGATTTCCAGAAGGACTGTTTCTCCATCTTGCTGAAACACTCCGTCAGCACTGCCGCAAAGCCAAGACCTCTCTTGATGCACAAGCAGGCCCACCTGAAATGAAAGTGAAATAATGCTGTGGAAAGTAGACCTCCTAGCACACCATTTCGTAACATGGCTACACCTGTCCACTTCAACCACTGCACTCGGCGTGAATTCTTCTGGGGGATACTGTCGAAGCAATTAGTTTCCACATTGCTTTAGGGTCGCACCGTTGTGCGAGCACCTCACTTAGCCTTGTCTCATTCTCACATGCAAAGGAGTTGCCAAGCAATGCCAAGCACTCGTGCAAGTAGCTTTGAAAATGCTGCAAGCACTATGTTCGCCTTGGCAACATAGTGCCTGCAACTGAGAAGATGCAGTGAGAACTTTGTGTGTTTTAGAATGTGTATGTGGAGGGCAATACTGGTTTCTATGATAAGAAAACAATGCAATGCACTAATGTGTGGGTGTGTCAAACATTAGTCTTGTCATCTTTTGAATTGTGGACCGGTTTCACCGCAACTAAAAATTTATTTAGGGTATTTGAATAACGCACCTCCACGATATGTGCTCCAAACTTTTCTTCGAACCGTCGCCGTGCTTTTGGTTCAGTCTGCAAGCCTGTGTAATTGAAATTGGTATTAGCATATATTGTGAACACTCAAAGCCTAAATAATACCATAAGTCGTTGCGTCGCTTGAAAAGCTTGTGGTGTTCATCAAGCTCGCAACAAGATCCTGTGGAGTCTTCCTGGTCCGGAGGATGGTATGTGCCATTGTGCTCGAAATCCGCACCTTGCGCTCTTGGTACCACCTGTTGGTATCGAGAACATGAATTTAATCTGAGGAACGGAGTTTACAGCTATTCTGAAAAGTAGTGTTAATAGAGTAATCTTCAGCACCAGGCACATGCAGGCCAAGGCAAGAAAGTCGAGGAAAAAAAACAAAAAACTCCAAAGCAAACAGACAGTGCAGATTTTGGGCAATAATTTGCTAGTGGAAAAAGCAGATCCTTCAGACCTTTTGAAATTGCATTATCAATACTGCGGTTTCACCACTTCAAGAGTACAGTTTCGCATGAAACCTCACTACAAAGCTGGGCCTCTCGAAAGCACCCCAGATAGGTGCCAACATGCACCCTGACCTCTGAGGAGGTAAAAGATCTCACTGTGCACACTTGGACTGTGCCATCGTTGCCATGCAGATTCCGAGTACATCACGAGAAGCCACTCTTTTTTGAAAGAATGCTTTCTCGGGGTCTGTGAGTTGATCTTGACGGTACTTCAGTGCCTCTCCGTCCGAAGCCTGATGCGTTAGATGTTGCAGCACCACTTCCACTTCAGACTTCCTCACAATGGTGACCGCATCATTTACAATGTCTTCTAAGAGCTGGGCACACTCCAGCTCTACTTGATTCTGTCCTGTCAATCGCAGAATGTCCGTAAATGGGGTGTCAATGTCTGGGAAATGGTCAATGATGTAGCGTGGCAGCACCTCTCGTGGCTCTTGTTTTCCTACGAAGTTGCTTCGGTTGCCTGTGAAATTAACATTGCACGCCATTAACAACTCATAAATACAAGGTTGTAGATAATTAAAAAAAAAAGGTTAATACGTCCAGATTGCATGCAGGGTTTGGGGGAAAATTGCAGTTTGCGTCAGCAAGATATTAATCAATTTGGGGTAATAGTTGATGTTTGCTTGCCCATGCTTGGAAACCATCATAGCTGTTTAGCTTGCAGAAGGGTGCTAGGTAGGGCTAGTTGCTAAGACGACATAGTGAAAAGTGCAGCACACAAGAAACTTGACACACAACACCTATGTTTCGTTTCTCTCCTTGTCTGTTGTGCACTGTAATTTTTACATATATCTAACTCGGGAGTCACTTCACAGGTATAATCTAAAAGTAAAACCAATGATATTGATAGTTATGCTTAACAAGGAGGCTGTAATTCTCCGTGACGTGCGGGACTAGGCTAGATACTCGGATCCTGTGCAATACTTTTATTTTTTTCTGTTGAACAGCACCCAAAATAAAACATGTGCATAAGCTCAAAACAGTGCTCCGTGGATACATTGTATCGCTGGTGTCTGGTATTCCGTTAGGCGCGGCCCAATCGCCAACCCAGCAGTAACTTGCACGATAACGTGTACGACTTGACACTAGCTTTTGCGACTCGTGAACGTCAACGCCACATAACGGTGCTGCAGCATGCTCGTGAACCGATATGGCTGCACACCTACCTCCAAAAAGGTCCCCGATCGACGCCTTGTCGCTTAATTTCGGCCTCTTTGAAGGCTTGCCCCACGCTTGGGGCACGCTAGTGCAAGCGCTGACCTCGTGCGTGTTGATGTAGTGCACTACAGCGGCGCTGTGCTTGCACTCGCCGAGGACACCGTACCGGCAAGTGCAGGACCCGGCGACGACCTTTCGCGAGTCTTGGATTAGCTGTGCAAGGAAAACATTAATAAATCACCCTTTTGTCCATGTAAATCTCGATAATATATCTACTCCTCATTGCTTGCACTCACCTGGAGTGTTATGTCGTACACGTGTTTTCCCTGCTGGGAATGGCACTTGGCCGCGATGTCCGTGCCGTTCTCTTCCCGCACGCCATACACGTGGTTGTTCTGGAACAACCTCTTCCCCTTTTCTAATGCCTGGTCGCGATAAAAGTTGCCGATATCTTGAATTGGTTTGAATCCGCAAAATAAAATAACGGGTGGCATCTTTCACGTGATACCGGCCGTGTCGCCGATTTAAGCCTTCTCAGTAATACGGCATTTAGCCACGGTGGCGCTGGCGATCAACCGACGGTGGCGCGCCCTAGGTACACTGCCCAGGGGGTATAGCGTCGCAGGCCTGGATGTCGGCGAAACAGCAGGATCGAGCGCTGGGGCGAGACTGACTCCGGAGCCCGGACCGCCACTCGGAGCACCTTCTGTACCCGCGCGGGTTTCTGAAACATTCGGCGTAGAAAGTTCGGCGAGTAGAACATTCGCAACTCGAACAGACGACAAGGTTCTTGAACTTACGAGAATGTCAAGTTGAAAGAATGAACGAAAGAGGAGTCCGCTCCCTGGTATCGAACCCGGAGCCTTTGCGCGAGAGCCAGGCGCGGTAAGCATTCGGCAACGCGTTTGCTGGGCAACGCGCGTGGCTAGGGACTGATAGATGTAACAAAGCATTTCTGGGACAACAAGAAAGAGGTTGCTTTATCTATTGAGGAGGAGATCAGACCGTGGCGCTCCAAGTAATTAACTTTAGAACTACATGGATGGGGATAACAAATACAATGACTCAGCGCTCGACTGACTTAACCGAACACGGTGTCAGCGTCCGGCTGGAGTTCGTGTTCTCCGGTGACGGGGAGGAGGGGCCCTTTTGTTACCACTCTGGCCTGGATGAACAATGCAGCATGCACGGTGTCCAGCTCAGCACAAAAGCCCAAGGGGGTCAAGCTCGCATCCTGCGACGACTGCTTCGGGAGAAATCCGGCACTTAACGCCACTTCATTTTTGAAGTGACGTTAAGCTTATTTTTGGTATTTTTACGTTACACTGTGCCCCGCGCTCTATTAAAAAAATGATGACATGCACATGCTCACAAGGTCTGTGGGCATGTGCACAGGCCTTCCTTTGGGTAAACACCGAAGTGTGGGGGTGACAAACGGGTCACAGCGCCTCGCCCATGGTGACATCCATGATTATCACGTCCTGCGGCGCACCTTAGACGTATCGTTTAACTGCAATCCATATTCCCTATATGGGGAGTTCACTATAAACGAACTTGGGACACGTATATGAGTGACTGGATAACAAAGAGAACCCAGATAATAGCCACAGCAGTGGTCTCACCTTCTTCAAATAGGTTGCGTTTAGAAAGGCACTCAAGTGACATCGCTAGATGTCACAAACTATTCAATTTTGCCAAAATGAAGAACCTTCCTTTCAAGCTTCGATTTAATAAACTCTCGATCGGACGAAATTCGTACGTTTATGATACGGATTTCCAAACCGTCGTGGAATGTAATCGCTAGCAATTACAAACTGCTTCTGCAACATCGTCTACGACGGTCGATAATATTACATTCCTTATAGTAAACCGCCGAAGCATTCGAAATAAATAAGATGACCTAGCTAGACGGGTCCAGCCATGACTCAGTTCCGATCACGTTGTGATCGGAATTGAGTTATGGCTGGACCCGCCTGTTCTTAACACTGAAGTTTTCCCTCCGAACTGTGTTGTCAATAGTAATGACAGAGATAATCACGGTGGCGGTTTATTTTGGCTCGTTCATCAGAGCCTACACAGCATTCCTGTAAATATTACCGGCGTAACCTGTGAAATGGTGTGGTGTAAGGTTTTTCTCTCCCGAGGCCGCCATCGAGCACTGCTCAACCGCTTGTTTCATTGTGTAACGCACTTTCTGTTGTTGCGCCAGGTCATGTAGTCCTGGGTGGTGATTTTAATCTACCAGATGTTACTTGGCTAGGTAACTGCCCCGTGATTCAAAATTCATCCTCGCTCTACGCAACATTTTCGGACATTATTAATACATTTCATTTGTATCAGTTTGTCACTGAACCCACAAGACTTGACGTTAGTCGTGCAAGTGTTTTGGATATTATTCTTTTTAATAGGTTTCCATCGATCACCTCCGCTTCATTAGTTCGAGGAATAAGTGATAATGAGGCAGTAGTAGCGACTATGAAATGTTTGAATGTGCCTAGATATAGAAACCCACCCAAAAAGGTACATGTTCAATCGAGGGAATTATGATAGTTTAGGTTTTGACCTTATGTATTTTTTGTCTGATTTTGAGGTGTACAGTGTGTCATGGATATGAATACCTTATGGAACATCTTTAAAAATAAAATACAAGAATTAGTAGACATTTATGTTCCAACAAAGATGGTCAACGCGAAGCCCAAACAAGATAAGCCATGGATGAATTCAAAAATCAGACGATCAACAAATAAAAATAAACGTGTTTTGCACGATATAAAAAGTAACGATTCACTGATATTGGGCCAGCTTAAAAAGCGTCAAAAAGATCTCAAAGTAAAAATAAACAAATGAATCAGAATATTTTCTCTCACGTGATAGCAAGCTTAAGGACTGTCCTAAATAACTTTGGAAGTATGTAAAATCAGACGAAAGGATGTGGCTGGTGTCCCCTCTCTTCCGGTTGATGGTAATATTGTGACAGACGATAGCGTCAAGGCAGCCGCTTTCAATAAATACTTCAAGTCTGTGCTTTCAACTTTCGCACCTTCATCACTACCGCCGACGGTTGACAAAGTTAGCGGTAAAATGAACGAACTCGCGTTCGATCACAATGGCATAAGAAAATTACTAGGCAATATAAAACTAGGAAAAGCACCTGAGCCGAATGGAATTCCAAAGATCGTATTGGAATCTTGCGCCGATATTATAGCATCATACTTATTAATAATATTTACAAAGTCGCTAGAGAGTGGACGTCTACCTGATGATTGGAAGTTTGGTAATGTAGTCCCAATACTCAAGAACGGTAAAAAAAATAGTGTTGAAAACTATAGGCCAATTTCCCCAACGAGTGAATGTTGTAAGATAATGGAACATATAATTTATTCTAACCTTATTAGTGATTTAAATATAAACAATTTCTCTTCCTCGGCTCAACACGGTTTCCGCACAGGGTTATCATGTAACACTCAGCTCGTAGAATTTTATCAGGACCTTGCTTGTGCATTTGATAGATGCTGCCAAACTGATTGTATTTTTCTAGATTTCAGGAAAGCTTTTGACGTGGCTAATCACTCGCTCTTGATTCATAAATTACATAGCCTAAACATCGATGTAAAAGTTTTGCAATGGATAGCAAGTTATCTTAATGCTAGGAAACAGCGCGACATTGTGAATGGATTTCATTCATCATATGTAGATGAAATGTCAGGTGTACCACAGGGCTCTGTTTTAGGCCCCCTACTTTTTCTTGTTTTCATTAATCATATCACGCGCGCAATTTCATCGAATATAAGGTGATATGCTGACGATTGCGTTTTATACAGAGAAGTGACCGATGACTACGACGTCCAGGCCCTACAGGGTGATTTAAATAAGATCACAGAGTGGTGTTACAAGTGGAAAATGTTCCTTAATGTATCCAAATGTGTTCACGTTCGATTCACTAGAAAACGGGAAATTGTACCTGCCGCTTTTAAACTAAACAATCTTCCTTTGCAAGTTAGCGCTGAGGCAGTATATCTCGGGGTACGCCTAACCGCTGATTTAAGATGGAATAATCATGTGAACTTATTATGTTCTAAGGCCAGCGGCATGCTCCAGTTTTTACGTCGCAATTTCAGATAAGTGTCGGTTCATTTGGAAGAAACCCTCTACTTATATTACGTCCTCCCCATACTGGACTACGCTTGTTCTCTTTGGGACGCCCATACGCAAACAAGTATAAATCAAATCGAAAGAATTCAGAATTAGGCCGCAAGATATGTGCTAAATAACTATAATTTTCATGATAGTGTCTCTCAATTGAAGCTCCAACTCGGATGAAAACCTTTACAACTAAAACGAAACGCGCCTCCGTCTCAAGTTTATGTATAATCTTTATCACGGTAACATCGGTATAGATAACTCGAGATACCTATTGAAACCTCATTACGTTTCTCTTAGAACTGGTAATCAAAAAATATCCGAGAATTTCGCACACGAACCAACATTCTAAAATATTATTTTTTTCCGCGGACAGTTAATGACTCGAACTTGCTGCCCGACTCACTGGTAGAGCTTCCTAATGTACAATCATTTTTTTATGAAATTATGTTATTGTAGTCGGTTCGGTGATTTTTCGTGTGACTTCTCTATGCTCTTAATCATTTTTCTGATATTATTGCTGCATATACTGGCATGTTTCTCCTGTTTGACTTGGTTATTTCGCTGTTATTCATTTTCTCATATTATTGCAGTATATATTGGCATGTTTCTCCTGCTTGTCTTGTTATTTGTTGTTGTTGTTCTGCTGTACGTTCGCTTTGTAAATTTCGTTCGTCCCCCCCCCCCCCCCTTTACTGTAATGCCCACCGGGCGATGTAGGTACCAAATAAATAAAATAAAGAAATAAATAAGCGTTGGGGGACACTTTGTTGGCATTTTGAGAGGTCATCCAGCTCGTAGTTCGTTTCCTGTTCTGTTCTCTGCTTATCAATGTTCGTTTACAGACAGTGTTC